ACTGGTGGGACCTGAGTTACGATACTGATGACAGCAGTAAATGCTTTTGACTGAGCGAGCAAGAGCGGCTGTATTGGTTTAGGCAGTGAAGGTTTGATTGGATGCGGTGTAAGTCACGTCTTGCATCGGTGAACTTCTTTCTCAGACCGCCAGTGACCTGTCACTGACCTCAGCTTTCTCATTTCTGACCAGCCCCAACGGACCCCACCCGACCTCCTTCGAGCTCTCATTTCTGGCCAGTCCCGCCCTCCCCGGTCCCCCTCCGCCGCCGGCCTTCGGCATCGTCTAATACCATCGGCGGCGCCGTATTCAAATTCGGCGCAGGGCGGCAATCTCGCGGTGGCCGCCTGTGTGGCGCCAGCGGCGGACACGTGCCGCCCCGCCCCCGCCCCCGCCCCGCCGACCGGTCGGCCGGACGTCTTCGGCAGTAGAGCGCGAACGGAAGCGATGGAAATCGTTTAGCGGCCGATCTGGGCAGACTTACTGCCGGCGCCGCGGCTTTGTTGGTGATTGGAGCCAGGTAGAGGAACGGAGCCAGGTAGAGCAGTGGGAGCCGGCGCCCTATTAGCCTGTCGTCTTGAGGCAGCTGCTGCTGAAGACCCCCGCAGTGAAGCTGTTTCGATTCTGTGAGGAAAACGCGGGATAGTGTCGAATACTCAGCCACCCAATGCTTAGGAGCGAGGCCTTCGGTCGGCCCGGCCTCTAATCATATTAAACTTGAAAGGACAAGAGCTCAACTTTTCCGTTACTAGCTGACGGGGATTATGGCTTGAGGACGTGATTTTACTGCCAGCCGAGTTTCATAGCGTCGTTAAAAGTGAAACACTTACGACCATGAGTGAAACGGCTGCTTGATTGGATCTTTGAACCTAAAGACGTGTTAGCCCACAATGTATGGGAATTTCCCCTAAAAGCCTGGCCGGCATTGATCTTATTGGCATATAGGAGTCCAATTATTAGCGCTCAGCGGCGACATTTTTAATATAGCTGTTAGAGCAGCTGTTTTGGTGATGGCTTAGTATCCGTGGTCAATGGTCATTATCATGACATAATATTGCTGTAGCATAAAAGCGATTTGTGTGGGTAAAATAACATTACGCACACAAATTATTCTTTCGGCTAGATTTTGAGTCTTGGGAATGTTGTAGTTGTTTTTGTTGGCTTGCACAATACACATTATGCAAATTGTTTTTAGTTGGCGCAGGTGTCTAACTTTCGAAGCATTTTGCTGTAGAAAAATATTGGTGGCTTAACTTCGTGGTGGATGAATTTGAATTAAGTTTAGTACGGAAGCGAGCAAGTGCTACGATATTCTCCAAACAAAAACGCTCTGCATCGATTGTCAATAATCCATGCTTGTTGTTCTTTTGGAAAGTTGATGGCAGGGTAGACATGTTACGCGGACTCGTATCTCTTCAGCAATATTGTTATAGTGAGGTCCACGTCTGCGCCTTTTTCCTCTTCTCCCCTGAGCCTGTTCGTGCGCAGTGAATGATGTGCTGTGGTTCCTCTGGATGACATATCAATACGGCCAAAAAGCAGTGGTTGTTACGTAAATTTTCCGCTAACCTGAAGAGAGACACAAATTGGTCTTCGCTCCCGCCGAAGATTGTGTCACTGCACTGAGGTTACATTGCAGACCCAAATATCTTTAAGCCCTTTCTGACTTGTCAGGGTGCTGTAATTTCTTGAGAAAGTAGTTGATTGGAATACCGGAGCGCAGCTGGTACCGAGTTCAACTTTGGGAATCTCTTGGCTTGGCCTTTATCAGAGGAGTTTGCGTCACCGGTAATACTTCTATAGAAATAAGTTCTCCTTGGCTCAGCCATTGATTGGTGCCGAAACGAATGTCTCGGCGTGCCACCATCGCCATTTTCCGGATGTGCTCGGCGTTTCATCATCTCCGGTCGCCGGGTGGGGTCCGATATTCCCGCGTCGTTTCTCCGTCCTCGGTCCCGGACGGAGACTGCCTGTACTGGTAGGCTGCGCCGGCGGGCCGGGCGGTACTGCGGCACAGCCTACCTCTGCAGTCGCTCCGCGGCTCGGCTCCGCGGCGACTTTCCGTCGCGTCGGTCCGCGACCGCTCCGGCGGGCGGCAGGCGTTATCTGGCCACGCGGCTATTGATTGATGCCGGCGGTATGAGGGCCGAATCGATCGCGCTCGGCGGCGTTATCGCACCGTCGCCCAACTGATGGCTGCTGCTGCCGCCGACACGCGGCCCGCTCAGATAGAGCGCCGCTGGACGGCGCGTCCCCGCCGCCGGGCCGGCGCCGACACGCGGCAGCGACCACGGAACTCGGTCAACGCTCGGAGCATGACCATTGCTCAGGTGATGCGTCACGCCGGGCGGCGAACACAGTGCTTCTGAGCCGTTAACACCGAGCTGGTTTATGTATGTAGCATTTTGAGCTGATGGCATTCCAGCGGCGCCGTAATGGGTCGGCTGGTGGCCGCGCCAGATGAGTTTCCGACGGGCCATCGGCAGCTGTCGGACACCGATCTATCTCTGGCGGCCGCCGGCCGACGGCCCTCGCGCCCCGTCGGAGGTGCACTGCCGCGGCTTCTGGTATGCATGAGGTATGAATTCGTACCGAGCGGCCCCGCGAGCCGGCGTATCCGGTCGTGGTACGATCTGATCTACCGTGCCATGCGCTCCGTAATCTGCCGATACAGTATCCGCTCCGCTCATACTGTGCCCACACCAGCCTGAGGCCGTCTGTTCTCCATCTGGTGATGGTGACAGGTGGTGCCATTGATGGTGACAGGTGGTGACCCGGCTGACGCCAGCACAGGTGGTGCTAGTGTCGATATATGCAAGGGATCGGTGCGGCAACGTTGAAGGCTATCCACAGTTGGGGAGTTGATGGAGGGCTTGTGTAAAATGACAGTTTATGTTATTTTGCCCTTAATCGCTACAAACAAACCAGCACGAATAACAGTTGCCGATAATCGAGACCAGCTTCTGGTCTACAGTGTGGCAGTCTGAGAGGCTTATAAACGTTTACGGAGACTTTCTCTGCATATGACGCAGCAGTTACGGCGTCTCGCTAACATACAGTCGGCGCCAACAGCTTGGGACATTTTGCCGTCTACGGCTGGATAATGGTGGTATACGGTCCAGTAGTCAGGGCCCTTTTGCTGCAGACCTGTTGCAGACGTTCGGAACCTGTTGCAGACGGTCGAGGGACCTGTTGCTCGCCCAGTGCCACCTGTTGCGGAGCCGAGAGCCGACCTCGGCTGCGACTCGCAGCTGTGAATCCGACCACAGACCTCCGACGGAAACATTGGCCTGTAGCTGGCCTGTAGACGAGTGTGGCGCGCGGTCGGTGCGGCCACTGCCCGCGGCTTTCACTATCAGCTCCTATCGGCCTGTCACCAGCACCCGACTCGACAATCGGCGGCCTGACCCCACCAGCCACCCCTCCCCAACCCTCCGATCTGGCCCTCGTGCACCCCCGGTCAGCCGCGCTACCCCCACCCCTCCCTCCCCACGCCGATCTGCGGCGCGCGGTCACCAGGCTTCGCAATCCTGGCTGCCTGGTTCGACCGCGGCTGCCTCGGAGGAACTTGTGCAGGCAGGGGAGGGGCAGGGCGGAGCAGGGGGTAGAGTGGTACAGGGCCGGGGTGTGACGTGGGGAGCTGCTGGACATGAACAGGCGTTTCAGTTGGATGAACGTTTGGGTGTGACTGCTTGATTTTGTCAGGCGTCAGAATAACCGAACTCTGTGGCAGCTCAATGAACTGAGCAGTGAGCAGTTGAGCACGATAATCGGAATGTGTCGCAGTCTGGTACTGTTGCTTCTGCTGACTGTAATTTCACCCGCTACATCTGTCCCCGTCCGGTCCCTTCCGGTGCCACTGACTGCTATTCCACCTGCTTCAGCTATCCGCGGTCGGGTCGCGCTCTGACATCGCTCACATCTCGGAGAGCGGTCGTGTGTTTGGCCGCGCCGGTACCGCCGCCGGCGCGCCGCCTCTGTCGTCGACCGCCGCCGGCGGTGCTGAGCAGCCATGAAGGCGACCCGGTACGCCGGTCGGAGGTCCGACAAACGCCGGAAAAAAAAACGGGAATTTAATAAGTGCCGTCAGAGCGGCGCCGTGTTTGCTCAAAACGGAGTGAGCGCCGCACTATCGTGACGTGGAATTAATGCGCTCTTCTTCTCCGGACGTCTGCGAGTTGTTGGATTTGATGACAGGCTAGATCTGGATCAAGAGATCAAAAGAAAGTGGTGTCATATTCGTAATTGTGTATTGAGCGCCGGTTCTAAGTACAGTAATTTATCTTGTATAAGTGGCATCGTTGAGAGAATTTCTTTCCTTGCACTATTTTTGGCTGTATTTTCTAGAATAGCTAAATGAACTAATTGAGTTGTTTTCTTAGACGGCCTCCAAATGGGTCACCATTCACCAATGCCCCTGGTTTCGGTTTACTTTAACTCGTATTGCCGAGTTATTCACCCCACTAATGTCTTAAATTGTTCTGACCTTTTCCCCCATTTGTTCCATAAAAAGCAGACGAGCCCCTCCGCCCTCGAGACAAACAGCTTGTGTGGGATGTCTTGTTCGTATGAAATCTACCTTATTTTTCTCTATGATGAATACCCAGTTGTCACCAGAATAGCGGATGCGGGGCCTTCCGTTTCGCTCTGGTCCCAGTTGTACCCAGATGAAAATATCTCTGTTTGTTGCCTTTGGAAAGGGAGCTTCTGTATTTTCCTCCAAGGAGGGAGAAGATAAAGATTGTTGTAGGCGGTGCCTGTCCTATTCCCCACTAATTAATGATGGGATGGTTCCGTCGGCAACATGCCATTTATCTCTCCATTGGCTTTTACATTACTTTGTAGGTATGGGAAAATTATCAAAGCTGTACCACCGCTTTATGAACTCATTGTGTGCTCCAAGGAAGATCCAAGGAGTTATTGTTTGAACTTTTAAACATCGTAGAATAACACTGACTTATCGTCATTTTAACTCTGTGACTTTATTTCTTTCTTTGCAGACGCTGACGGTCTCCATGCTTCTTCGTTATTCTCACCAGCAAATATTTCTCTTCATTGGTGAGTACAGCCATGCCGTGAGCGATAACTGGGAGAGGAGCTTCTGGTCTCCGGTTTACGAAATGATAAGATGTATATTTGGGTATGTGGACAGTGGCAGCATTGTCCCTCCCCCTTCCTCCCCCCTCTCCCCCGCATCCTGGGACACCCTCTGTCTCCAATCTCGTAAGATTCTTTTGACCTGTCCTGGCAAACATTCGTATTTCATACGTTGCCTGCCCCTGCCCCTGTGCCCCTGCCCCTGTACCTGGACGCAGACGTCGCGCACGACAGGTGCTTAGTGCAATATGCCGACGATGTACAGATGGCGGTGTTTGGGAGTCCCCGAGATAGTGGCGCGATGGTCCGCAACTTAGAGTTAGATCTGGCAGCTTTATCACTTTGGTTTCGGAAAAATGGACTTAAGGTGAATGCGAACAAAACCCAGCTCATTGTCATGGGCACTGGACCGAACCTCCGTGCGATGCCCGAGATGCAGGTGGAGTTCATGGGCGCCACTATTACGGAATCGAGCACGGTCAAAAACCTAGGCGTGATTTTCGACCGGAGTATGACGTTCTCGGCGCATGTCAGCGATGTGGTGCGGCGCTGTACTGGCTTACTCAGTGGACTGAGCCACAGCAGACACGCCCTCCCCCAAAACACGCTCATCACCATTGTACAGTCGCTCGTGCTATCCGCCATACGATACTGTATCAGTGTGTACGGTGTATGCGGCATCACCCAGACAGCTCGACTGCAGAAGCTGCTGAACTTTGGCGCACGTGTCATCTCGGGACGTCGGAAATACGACCATATTAGTGACGTACTGAGGGACCTGAGGTGGATGTCAGCCGCCAACATGTACAGGTACCACTCGATGACCCTGTTGAAGCAGATGCTGTCCACCGGCCAGCCAGAGCAACTGCACGGCAGTCTGGTGACACGCGGTGATGTTCACCACCGTGACACCAGGCAGGCCGGCCAGCTCCACAGGCCCGCGATACGCTCTGAGTCTGGCCGCCGGCGGTTTCTGTTCGCCGCCGTCGCGGAGTATAATACCCTGCCGCAATGTCTCCGAGATATGGGACCGCGGCAGTTTAGAGCAAACCTCCGAGATCACCTGATAACAAACCAGTATAGCAGCGGTTAGCTGGCTGTCGGACGCAGACTGAATGGAATGTTATGTGCGTGCGTGTGTTTTTATCATCTCTCTCGTCATTATGACATGTCAATCATAATAGCCATGAGTCCATGGAACGATTGCGCAATGTGAATACATACATACATACGTAGATCTGAAATCTGTCTTCGGACAATTCCATGTGTCTTAGACAACTGAAAGAGACAAAAAAAAAAGACGAGAGACAGCTTCTGCTGTATTGAGTGCTGTTCGACTGTTCGCTACTGTCTGCCGCCGAGTGTCAGACTATCTCGATGGTTCGGTCGCCGCTCCGTTCTCGAACCACCTCTGGTGCACTCAGACCCCGCCTTCTTCACGCTCTGCTGGATGAGTTCCGATGCACCTGTCATCGGAAGCGATGAACTGTCATCTGACTGACGCTTGTCACTGAAACCAGAGAGCTGTCATATGACTGTGACACTCGGTCACGGGAGGTAAAACTGGTGTCAACTGGATGACTGATGCCGTAGAACTGCCATCTGACTGTCACCGGAACCGGGTAGTGTCATCTAACCGTGTCACCGGAACCGGGTAACTGTCATCTAACTGTGTCACCGGAACCGTCCAAGTGTCACCGGACGCTCAGCGCCACCGGACACGCTCCGTCTACCGGAGTCGCTCAATATGGGCGGCGGTATGGCCGCGGGCCAGAGTCGAGGGCCGCCTCTTGGCCCGGTATTACGGCCGACTGCAGTGAAAGCCGAGCCGGCCGCCGGCCCGGCCCGCCCGTGGCAGCTCTAATTGCAACCGGAGCCGCCGCCGCCGGACTCCGCCCGCCCCGCCGCCGCCGCCGCCGCCGCCCGGGGACCGCCCTGCCGCCAGCCTGTTAGCGATGCCGTATTAAATTTATGGCCTTATTTGGGGCCGAGCGGCGGCGCTGCCGGCTGCCCTGGAGAGTCGGCGGCCGGTCACTCGGGCTGGCTCTCCGGTTCCGGTGGTCACTGGAATGGTGGGCGGTGTTCCGCTGCTCGTGCCGTGAGGGGCTGAGGCACCGCCGGGCTGCGTGAACCGTGCTGGAGCGAGCCGAGCTGAAGCGAGCATCCTGGTGGCCTGTCCTGGAGCGCGCAGACTCAATTCTCCGGCGTCTGGTATTGAGTTACCCGTACGCACGTATGCAGTGCTTGGATGGCTCAGTCCTTTGTCATGTCTCTATTATGGTCGAGCGGTTTTCCAAGAAGACTCCTGTCGGAAATTGGCACGGTGTCCCTTTCACGGTTCTGCCGAGAACGTTATTGCTGTAGGCAATGTGATATGCCTGGTGACACCTACATCCCGCTGACAATGTAGTATGAGTCAGTCGGGACGGAGTCGCTCGCTGACGGTTCTATGTAGCCTCGCGCACGCTTCTGAGGCTGTAAGCGATCGATCTCAAGCGTAGTTTTCTTATAACGGAGTTATTGTTAGCTGGCTGAGACTGAACCAACTTGGCTTGTTTTTAACTTACTCACTTTACCATAGCTTGTTTATTGTTTTTGTTGGGATCTTTTATTCCACTTCGAGGGGTACATCCGCTGCAAACAACAGTTTTCTGTGCCTAAGAAACACACATCGGAAATTCAACAAGTGAACGAAAATGTGATAAAAACATACCGTAAAGTGGGGCTATTTGAGACAGTGGGGCTATTTGAGACAGTAAAGTAGTGGTTTAGTAAAATCGCTGTAAAATGAAAACCGTTCGATATTTTTTCGTCATTTTTGCTTAGGCTGATGTGGAATTGAACAGTGAATGACCTGAATAACCTTTTTGAAAAATTTCGAAAAGTTTCGAAAGAAATTTGGTCTAAAATACGAAATACAGAAAAACGCACAATTTAAGTTGCTCGAAAAGGACCCCTACCTGCCGCTTAACATAGTTGAAATTTTAACAGCTTCGGCACTGCATCTATCGCTACTACCGTTTTACTTAAAGGCTAAGCATATTTTTCATGAAAATATTATACATTGTTAACGTTACTGCCGATTGCGTAACCCATTGTCTCAGAATCCCGATGATGCCCACCTGGTCAAACCTCAACCGATATGCCAAATAGCTACTGATAATGGTGATGCGAATGCACCCGAGAAGACTTACCACGATCTACTTGAAGTGCATCGAACGTTCGACATGAGTAGCACCGATGAATTGGTCGTGGTCATAAACGTGCAGTGGGTTCATGGTATTTAGCAGGAAGCAATATTTACATGTTCGTAGTGTAACATAATGACCCTTTAGCTGGTGACCAAACTAGTTATTCTGATGAATATGTGCTTAAAATGTGCTTCATCAGTCACTTACTTAGTCGACAATAACACATGTCTACCTTGGTTGACCAAAAAACACCATTGAAGATTACTTAACACATGGACGTACTGTTAGGTGAGCCTATGCAAGTAGGCTTGATGTGGTAGGGTTACCGGCCAATTGATACAGCATGCAGCGATCGAGGAAAATCGTCATAAAATCAAAACCGCTTAACATTTTTCTGTTATTTCTTCGCATGAAGATGTGCAATGGAACAAGGAATCATGCAGACTATTCACTTAAATGTTTTGGGAAACCTTTTAGCTCGTTTGATTCATTACGGTGTGCTTCATTAGGTAGCGAGCCTGTCTCAAATAGCCCCACCGACTTTCAGTATGTCTGTTTTCACGCCACCAGGGCTATATACAAAAACTTTCTTTCAAAATTTTACTGTTGTTGTCTTTAGAATAGTCCTTGATGATCATTCTGCAAATTGGAAAGTTTAGGGTCACATCATATTATGACAGCCTTAGCATATAGTGATGCAATTTTATAACCTACCGAAATGAAGCATCCTACGAAAAAGGAAAAGATTGAATATAAAGGAAATGTAACTGTCTTTGCAAAAGCAATTTTTGCCAGAATGATCAAAATTTAATTTCCAATCACATGGCATTTAAAAAATTATCTCTAGCGTGACCGATTTTCTTCAATTTCTTCGTAACTAAAACTGTCTCAAATAGCCCCACCCTATGGGGCTATTTGAGACAGGCTTTAACTAAAAAAATATCCTTAATCATTTTTACTAGCTGAACCAAAATGCACCTATATGAAAGAGCTTACGGAGAACTACATTTTTGCAATTTACATGCTATAAGAAATATGAACCGTCTTAAAGGGAGAGGCCAAAAACTGTAAAAATCCGTTTCAAATAGCCCCACTTTACGGTATTTAACATAAATGCATCCTACGACAGCACAATACCACACTTACACGTCGTTTCTGTCGCCGAGCTGCTGTTTTTCAGTTCGGGCTGGCGATGAGAAGACGACTCGCACCGATTGTCCTCGCGATGATTTTGTTTCCTGTGCCTATAATACATATCCGAAGTGATTTTATGCCTTTTTCACTCTTTTTAATGTTTCGAGCACATGGATTCGCACATGAAATATTTTACTGACCCAGATGCTCTGTGCCGGTGCGTGACCGATGTGCACTGGCCAACATGTACTGACACGCTATCCTGTCCCCGGGTTCGTACGTTCTACAGAGTGCCCGATACCGTGTATTCTGATTGCTTATAACTGAGTACTAACTTGATGAACCTCCCCCCTTTGTTCGTTCCAGTGGACCTGCTGCAGATGTTGGAGGCCAACACGATCGCCCACTTCCCGGCGGCCCCGCTGCTGACCGTTATTCTGGCGCTGGTTGGTGAGTATCTACCACTAATTCATACACACTGCAGGCTGGGGTCGGTACTGTTTGCTGTATGGTGTACAAACTACACAGTCAGTGCTGACCGTTATTCTGGCGCTGGTTGGTGAGTATCTACCACTAATTCATACACACTGCAGGCTGGGGTCGGTACTGTTTGCTGTATGGTGTACAAACTACACAGTCAGTGCTGACCGTTATTCTGGCGCTGGTCGGTGAGTATCAACCACTTGCTCATACACACGGCAGACGGGGAAGGACAGCCCTATATGACGTCCGCTACACGGGCTATGTGGATGACAGTGTGGGTCGGGATTTTCCCCGCCCTGTACACACTGCAAAGTCTACTGACCGGGTCATCCCCAGGCCATGCAGTGTAGATTCACGTGTGTACTACAGGTACTGGGCTGGTCTTGCCATCTATTCAACCACCAAGCCAACTACCTACCGATTTCGCGGGATGCGCTTTAGTGCGCTAGCGGCTAGTGTACACAGTCACGCTCGTTCAATATGACGATCATCAACGCCGTCCAACTAAAAAACTACGCCCACTTAGGGAATAGGCGGCTGTCATCTATGACCCAGCCGGCTGTTTGAATGCATAGTTAATATTCTCGCGATTGACCATTCAAACTGTTCACCTCAGTCGTCTCGGTTGGTCACACGGCCGGCGCTGTTGGTGTTTGTCTCCGGTCGCCGCCCGGCCCGTGTCAGCTCGGTAATCGATCAGGCTCGCGCCGTGTTTGCTCGCGCCGATCGGGCGGCCGGCGCCCGCTGAAGATTGTGCCCGAGTTACGAGGTTTGCCCTGTCGCCGGTGCTGTCATGGGTGTTAGTGAGCGGCCATCTGTTGCGTTAGTGGGGTGGGATGGTCGGCCCCGCGGCAGGGATGGGGATATGGAGGGGCTGGGGATATCCGGGCACCGGGTGTGCTGATGCCAATGCAACACCCATGCGACTTGCTTTGCAACAGTCAACGGGAAAATAATGAGTAATTGATCAGTGAACACACTTTTTATCAGTTCGGCTCGGTCCAGAGACAAGCTTTTGTTATTGTTTATGAGTGCTTTTGAGCAGAACTTTGTCGTTTATAGTGATTTGGCCAATCTGACTATCGTCATTCTGGTCGGCCACGCCCTCTAAGGACCATGTCTGGAACGCAGCGCACGCCCCGTCCTGCACGCTTCTTGTCTTTCTGAGACCGGCGGTAGGCTGCAGCGTTTTCCCCGACTGTTCCTGCTGCTGGTCACTCGGAGAGCTGGCAGCTAGGGCACAGTCTCCGTCCACTGTCCCATTGCTGGCCGTTCCGATGACCGGTCTGCTGGTGAGTCGCAGTCCCCTTACCCGCCTGTTGCTCGCCGCTCCGCCGTCTCTCCGCCGTGCTCGCGCCGTTCGGGTCGCACCGATGGCCGTCTGACTATTTAACACGGCCAGCCGATGGCGGGCGGGACGGCTCGTTTTACTGATTCAGTCTCGGTGGCAGTGCCGACGGCCGGCAGTGCTGCCTGCGCTCGTTTCGGGCCGATAATGGCTAAAAGGCGGCCGCCGACCGGCGACTACGTTAATAGGTAATGAGTGGACGCTGCTCTCGCCGGGCGTGCCAGACCTCCCGTGACGTTCTGGGGATAGGACTGCGGCGGGCTAATGGTGGTACTGGTGCTGGATAGTGCCGGGGCATGGTGGCACTGGCGGTGGGGTACATTCTGGTACTGGTACTGCAGACTGCAGACCGCAGTGTGGCCGACATACTGGGGAAGTGGCTCTGAGCATTCCCATGGTGGCACACAATGTTTCTTATATTTATACGCCAAAACATCCTGGTGCTAAAGGACCTGCGAGGATTGTACTGGTATTGCCCGCTGTTCTGGCTGCAACTCGGACAGAATGTGAGCGGTGCTGTTTTCAGTGGCCACGAAGCTGAAGACCGCGTGATTCCTTGACAGGCTCACAGGCTGGGGATCAGCCGGTTCCGTGAAACTACAGCTGTGACTTGGTCATTTCGGGTATGAAGGACCATGAAGGACTGCACCACAACCGCGTCCGTTAGGACCCGAGCCATACCGTGACACTGCCGAGGGGACCATCACATCCGCCGCTTCCCGGGAAGTCCGAGCCTGCGCACCGCAGTTGGTCAATGGTCAGGTCACGTTGCAGAACGAGTGCTCCTTCCCCGGGGCTGCTGCTCTTGGAACCGCCCAGTCCTGGGGCTTTTCTGCAGATTGAGGATTTTTCTACTTTGCTGGTGTCCAAGTTCGGCGTGGGAATCACCGTGTTTGAAAGATAAGCTCATTTTGATAGTTCTATTGCTGTTTTAGCCTACTGATTACTTATTCTCGATAAAGCCAGACCGCAAAGAGAGCTACTTTTGTCGAATAATACTAATGATATGCAAATGTAAACATAGCGTTTCCTCTCTTCCTGGCCCAGAAGGCTTCTATCAAATGAGCCGTCGATTCTGGCCGTGTAATGGATGCGTTCTCTAAGTTCGTTGTTGACGCAATTCTTCAGATTTAGTGAGCTACCTTAGGTGCCACCATCCTTTAGGCTAGTTAGTGGCTGCTAGGTGATCTAAAATCTATTTGCGGAATATTTCCGTTGAAAAGTGGAAATATCCTTGTAATTTCCATCCATCACCTAGCTACAATAATGACGTATAAAAATACTTACAGTGTTTCGAATGGTGGTGGTGAGGTGTAGTATATCATATATAGAAGACGTTCGACGTAACTTACACGGGGAAGGGACATGATTTTTACCGTGCTAATAGTAATCAATATGCAGCTAATCGTTGCATCCAATGCAATAGGAGACCTTATTACGAATCACTGTGTAGAGGTCATTACATCACTATCGCACCAAGCTCAATCCCCCCCCCCCATGCCCTTCGAGTATCCCGCCCCTTTTATTCCGGCATGGTGTCCCTCCAACATGCTCCGTCCAGTATCACATCCAGTGTTCCGCCCGTACATTCCATCCGCTGTCCCGCCCTGTTTCGCTCAGTAGGCCGTACCGCGGTTTTCAGCGGTGCGCCGCTCCCTGGTCCGGCCCTGGCGCTCAGCCAGCAGTGACGCCGCGCCGGCCGCTGTCGGTCAGCCAATTCGATTAGGGGCTTATCTGGGCGTCCCAAACACGGCGTGTGGCCGCCGGCGCCGGCCCGCCGCCAGCCGTCCCGGGAGGAGGCGCCGCCCCCGCCCCTGCCGGCCACGTGACACCCCGGCACGGTGAACTCGGCCTGATGGCACGGGGTGACCTCGGATTGACATTCGGTGAACTGAGTGTCATGTCATGGGGTGACCTCGGGCTGATATTTGGTAAACTCGGTCTCATGTCACGGGGTGACCTCGGTCGACTTCCGGTGACCTCCGCCTATACCCGGTCATAGGGATTGAACAGCGAGAAGTGCGCCTCATTGCAGAGATAGCGATCTAAGCGTGCTTCATGCTTGTATCAGCAGCTTGGCTTCCAGTTTATCTAGAAATGTGTTCATTCTTGCAACTTGAACTCCAGTTAGCACGTCATACGCGTTCGGTCATCAATTGACTGATCGATTTCGTTATTCGGTATCCCCACGGTGCGCACCAGTGTTTCCCCTTCTATCTCACCCTACGCCCGGTGATGCTGCGGGCTCTCCGGAGGGCGAGGCCCGGTCCGCCAACCCGCTGTACGGATTGAAACTGTCGTTTGTTCGATAGAATTTGTTTTTTGATGATTCACCTAAGATCTTGGAGTTATTGAGTTGCGAGAGTGATTCGCCCCTTCTCTTTGATTGCCTTTTTGACGGAACATCATCTGTATTGTCACGATGTCTCCCTTTGCCCGAGTCTGATTCATATATTTCCGACTGCGTCTCTCGATGGGCAGCTGCACAGCTGTGAGTAACGTGTGCACGTCTGGCCTGCGATAGCGACACGGGGCGGGGCCGGTGCCGCGGAGCCGGGGCGCGGCAGGCGCCTTATCTGGACAGCTAGCGATCCTACACCGTGGCCGGCGACTGCCTGCGTCTGTATGTGCGGGTGGTGTCAGCCGCGCGGGGACTGCTCACCGAGAGGACTCAGATGTGACCTGTCCCCGTGGAGAGGTCTGCCTGTTGTATAAGGAGGTCTGCTTGTTTTGTAGGGATGGAGAGACCCAGGCTGGAGCTTGAGGTGTCTGAGGCAGGGGAAGGGTAGACGGCGCGGGTGACCTACCTGTCCAGCCCTCCGGTGCAGTGCGGAGTTCCAGAGCCCTGCGCCGTCTGCCTCTCGTGCTGAGACAGATAGCGACCGGTGTCGGACGGCACCGAGGCACCGGTGGCGTGTGAACACGCCGCTGGCTGCTCGCAGTCTGTCACCGCTGCCGGACGCCACAGTTTACCGGCCACTGCGCCGCTCGAAATGGCGAGGAAGTACCGAGGAAGTCGCGGTAATGGAAGCTGACCTAAGGAAGGCAGCCACTTCCACACCCTTGTTATATAATCCAAGGCTAGAGGAAACCAGGCCGAGCTGTCGCTATTCGTATTTTACGAGGTGTGAAAAGCCCGAATCTGCTTCATGCAAAATATTATGACTGCAGCTTATTTTACGCTTTTCACTTGTATTCGCGAATTTAGGCATTATTTTCTCGTTGACCCTAATTACGTCTTTTCGGTGCAGCGCCAGTCGTCCCTGTGGTGTTAAAATTGCAGGGTCCAGCGCCAGTTTTAACCATGACAGCCGCCTCCAGCGGCGCCGGCCAACTTCGGACGAATTGTCACCGCGTCCTCAGACCTGTCAACGGTGACGTGACGGGTGTGACGGGTTGACGGGTGACGGAGTGACGGCTGACACTCGAGCCAGCGCCGCCGGTGGCCGTCCTCTCCCGACCGTTTGGGGCGGGTTCTGTTCGATAGGGTGGTGGGATCTGTTCAGGAGTTTCTCGATTGACGATGGATCCTTTGACTGTGTCTTTTCGATGGCTTGGGTCCTGCCAGGCGAGGCGGACGTCTGCTCTTTCTGTCCTGTGATACCTGATGATCTCTTTTGAATGTGGTTGATGGTAGATCATCACGGCAGTGAACCATTCTCACCGACTACATAATCTGTAAGCCTCTGAAGAAGGAATAACTTCGTGGGCGAGCGGATGGTCGGATGTGTCGAGTCAATCCATCAATAGCTATATCCTTCCACCAGTCAGTCCACCTGAGGCAGCCCTCGAGGCCAGCGGCCGGCCGTCCGATACTACCGTTTGAAGACCGTTCCGTCGTCACTATCTCGCTCGTCACTGTCAGTCTGTGACCGCTCCGATGAGAGGATGGACCTGCCGGCAGCGACCAACTTCCAGCCGATGAATGATTCATATAATATGATTAAGTGCCGAGGCCGACATCAGATTGCTGGCATGTTCATCAACTTAAAATGTGACCTGACAGCGTCTTCTTCATGGCGGCTGCTCAGTTTGAAATTTGCCAAGTTGTACTGCGGACAACTTCAGAGGACTCGAGTAAGTTGGCCGCGGAAATACAAGAGCTCGACATTTCGAACCCAGCTGCCCCAGTATATAGGTTTTCTGCGATGCATTATGTCAGTTTTTACCAGGAACGCCTATGTTTGTCGATTATAGGGGAGGAGTAGCTACTATTGCTCCGAAGGCCGCTCCACGATGCATTGCGTGTTCTGTGATTTTGGGATTTTTTAAAAACATAGTTTCCCCAGTAGGCAGTAATGTTGTGCCACCGTTTTCGTTTGTTTGCTTTTGAGTTCTAGCCAGAGGACGGCTCGAATACATGCACAAACAGTTACTGAGTCATTGGGCTCGGGCAATAATGCTTGTTGGCTGGCGGCTTCATTAAAGTTCGCTGGGTACTGAACTCCGGTGGTTTACTGTTTAAATTTACATCTGGCGGTTGACTGTTCAGAGGAGTAAGCTTTGAAGTTTTTATTACATATGTTTAAAGATTTTATTACGCCATTACATGGCGCACAATTTTTTCCGGTGGTGTTTGAACGGCCCGCTATTGAATGTGATTGTGCCGATGGCTCCTTGGTGTCCGTAGCGCTGTCATGTGAGCCGGTCGGGGTCAAAATGGCGTGAAAGTGTCCGGCTCGGCTCTGATCAGTTGAGCCCAGCTCACTGGTGTGTGAGAATCGACTCTCTGTTGGACCCGGGAAGATAGGATTGAATCGACACCGGCCGTCTGAAGGGGCCAACGGGAGCGGACTCGTGAAACGGGTCCATTCTCTTTTTATCAGTCACTGCCACTAGCTGTCCCAGCTTTTCTGTCTAGCCACGCTCCGAGTCGCTTGTTGGGGGGGGGGGAGGGGGGGGGGAGAATGCCCTGCAATGAGAGCTTGGTAAGGCGTGGCCTGCTCTACCCAAAGTCGGCACTGCAGTATGGTTTTTCCCACATCATTTTAGTTTTCGTGTCGCTACTGGTTGATGATTTTTACCAAACATGTATTACGACTCCTCCTGAAATGCTCAACTGAGCAGCAGTGTCTCAAGTGCTGGGGGTACACCGCGATCAGAATCAGAATATATTTCAAGTTGATCCAGGCAATATATTTAATGGAATAACCTTCTGTTCAAAATTCTAAAAAAAATTGCCAAAAGTTACCAAAAACACTTGAATATATTTCGGAGGCGTCCCTTCATCGGTTCAAGTGAAATTTTGAACAGAAGGTTATTCCATTAAATATATTACATATAATGCTGTTCACCAGAGTGCTTCGTCATTTGATTGATCCACCAGGCAAGTATACCCCGGCTTTTTATGGGCTTACGTCAGTTGTAGGATCGAAGGCATTCACGATCCATAGAACAGTACCCACTGGAAATCTCCCTTGTGCAGAATATTCCAGTCCTCTACTTACAGAATATTCCAGGCTCAGTGTCGGCCTGCGGAAGCGGTGAATCATGCTCCAGTTAGGGCCGGCGTGTTACACCTCTAGCATGGGAATGGCGTATTTTACCTCGGTATTATTCAATAAACGCTGTATCGTAGCTCAAGATGCGAGCCATCGACTACGACTAAGGAAACCTTGCGCCATGCTCGTCCCCAATACCGGACCCGTGTACCGTACCCCAGTGCGCTGTGGAGTCCATGTAGAACGGTCTATCGTACCCCGGTACTGGAGCGGTATGCCAGTGCGGGACTCTCGAGCACACCCCGGTACTGGAGCGGTATGCCAGTGCGGGCCTCTCGGGCACACCCCGGTACTGGAGCGGTATGCCAGAGTGGCGCGGCCGTTTCGCGCAGTAAGCGGCTCACCGGCCGGTAAGAGGATTGGCGCACCGGTTCCCTGAGCAGCGACCGGTCCGTCGGAGCCGGCAGAGAGCCCGCGCGCGGAAACGGATCGACCGCTCCTCCTCCCCCGCCGCCGGCCGAGTACGGTCCGCTCGGGGCCGAGCACGGTCCGTCACAGGCCGGGCGCTCAGTCCGGACTGCCGCGGTACAAAGCACCGGGGCCGAACCACCGCCGACCGGCCGAGCGAGCGAGCTGAGCGAGCTGAGCTGTCTGCTCACCGGCCCTCTTCACCGGCGGCCTGCATATTGAACGTAATATGTTTGAATTATCCGGCGGCGGAGGGCGGTGCTTCTTTCTGGGAACGGTGCGCCGGTGCGGCCGTCAGGAGGTGCCGGTCCGGGAACCGGGCCGGCCGGCCGGCGCCACGCTCCCACCACGTGAGCCGGTCCCGGCTGAACAGGTGTACTGCTTTCAAATGGACGCCTTCCCGTGACTCCGGCGGGGTAGCTCGTCAATAGGGAGGGGCTGAAATGTATCATGAACTCCCAGAAGCTTCGCGCAGTGATATGTCAAAGCGTCAGCCGACACAAAGGGGCACCTTGTGAAGGAGATCATTTGTCTCGGAAGAATGGCGTGGTGTCTGAACTAGGGCTCCGATTTAGCACCTCAAAATGCTCAAGCCTGATTCCTTTTGTCGGAGTCTGACATGCCAAGCTTGGAAGTGTAAATTTGACGAGGCTATGTGTAAATGTGACTTCGTGATAAGGCGCAGCTGGTCGTCCGGTTCCACACAGGAATTCATGCTCTTGTGACGTATTAACCCCGGCCTATTTTCTCAATATTTCTTGGTTACAGCCCTATGAAAATGAACACGTTTTCATTTCCAAGTGATCTACTCGATTTGATCGCAATCCATCTAGTCTTTTCGTCTAGTCTAGTGTAGTCCTTACCTCTAGTCAATTGTCTTTTACGATACGCTTGCGTTATTCATCCCTTCTTGCTCTTCTAACTAGCTTCGGGCTTTTATAGTCCTTTTATTTTGTCGGTTCTCTTGTGACACACTTGTTTTACTAGCATAACGTTGTGGGTGCAAAATGACCTTGTATGTATTCGGCACGCCCTAAAGCCCCAATAAGCAAACATACAAACAATGAACACGTTCCTTATTTCGCTGAAATTCCATTTAATGTCAAACTCATGCTCGCATTTCTAGGTGTGCTCAAGCTGCTCAAGGCGTGCGCATCTCCGGGTCCTACTATGAACCGCCATTAATGTTCCTGCTTATTCCAGGTATGGAGGCGGTGATGTCCGAGTTCTTCAACGACTCGACCACGGCATTCTACGTCATCCTGATGGTGTGGCTGGTGGACCAGTACGACGCCGTATGCTGTCACACAGCCATCAGCCGCAAACACTTCCTCAGGTGAGTCTGTCACACCGCCATCAGCCGCAAACACTTCCTCAGGTGAGTCTGCCATCAGCCGCAAACACTTCCTCAGGTGAGTCTGTCACACCGCCATCAGCCGCAAACACTTCCTTAGGTGAGTCCAACACTGCTGTCACACAGCCATTAGTCGCAAACACTTCCTCAGGAGAGTCTGTCATACTGCCATCAGTCGCAAACACTTCCTCAGGTGAGTCTGCCATCAGCCGCAAACACTTCCTCAGGTGAGTCTGTCACACCGCCATCAGCCGCAAACACTTCCTTAGGTGAGTCCAACACTGCTGTCACACTGCCATCAGCCGCAAACACTTTCTCAGGTGAGCCTGCCACACTGCCATCAGCCGCAAACACTTCCTCAGGTTAGTCGGACACTATATACTTACACCTGCGCCTAGGAAAGGTGCGGTCTCCACTGAGCTGCTGTACAAGTTTCAGGGAGGTTGTGGTCTCCACTGAGTTTCTGTATGGCTCTCGGGGAGGCGGTGGTCTCCGGTAAGAACTGTGTGGGCCTCGGGGTGGTCTCCACTGAGAAGTATGTATGTCGGTCTCAGCGGCGGGAGGTCGTACTGAGCATCCGTACGGCTCTCGGGGAGGCGGTGGTCTCCGCTGAGAACTATGTCGGTCTCAGCGGCGGGAGGCCGTACTGAGCAGCCGTACGGCTCTCTGGGAGGCGGTGGTCTCCACTGAGAACTGTATGGATCTCAGCGGCGGAGGCCATGGTCTCTGCTGAGAACTGTGTCGGCCTCAGTGGCGGGAGGCGGTGGTCTCTGCTGAGAAGTGTGCCTGTCGCAGTGGCGGGAGGCGGTGGTCTCAGCGACGGATGGCTGTGATCTCTGCTGATAACTGTATGGATCTCAGCAGCGGAGGCTGTTGTCTCTGCTGAGAACCGTGCTGGTCTCAGCGGCGGAGGCCGTGGTCTCAGCGGCGGCAGGCGTTGGTCTCCACTGAGAGCTATGTCGGTCTCAGCGGCGGGAGGCCGTACTGAGCAGCCGTACGGCTCTCTGGGAGGCGGTGGTCTCCGCTGAGAACTATGTCGGTCTCAGCGGCGGGAGGCCGTACTGAGCAGCCGTTCGGCTCTCTGGGAGGCGGTGGTCTCCACTGAGAACTGTATGGATCTCAGCGGCGGAGGCCATGGTCTCTGCTGAGAACTGTGTCGGCCTCAGTGGCGGGAGGCGGTGGTCTCTGCTGAGAAGTATGCCTGTCGCAGTGGCGGGAGGCGGTGGTCTCAGCGACGGATGGCTGTGATCTCTGCTGATAACTGTATGGATCTCAGCAGCGGAGGCTGTTGTCTCTGCTGAGAACCGTGCCGGTCTCAGCGGCGGAGGCCGTGGTCTCAGCGGCGGAGGCCCGTACTGAGCAGCCGTACGGCTCTCTGGGAGGCGGTGGTCTGGTCGTCGGCACGTGTGACCGCGGGGGACGGGCGCGCCATTCCATTAGCCGGGCCGGGCCCGTCGGTCGTGCCCCGAACACGCCGCAGAAGCAATCACAAGAATTCGAAGCCCGGGTATTTTGTCGCCGGTGTTAGTGGAATTGGTCGCGGCAGCTCTGGCGCGGCCGTGGCGCCGTGTGGTTTGGATCGGTCGACCGCCAGGGAGGGAGACCCGACCGTCGGTCCCATGTCAGACTGACTGGTACGGTGGCAGTCTGTTGCCTCTGAGTACGTCTGAGAAGTCTGCCTGTGCACGGCCCGCCCGTTCCACTGGCAGTTAGCAGGCCCCGTAGTCTGTGATACACACAAAAACATCTGTAGATTATGCGCAATGCACATCCAGACAACAACGAAATACTATCACATTCATAATGCATATGTGGCTGATGCTTTATCGCGGTGTGTGCATTACGTAACGGCCGCTTAGATAAATAGCAGTAAAATGTACAGAGGTAAACCGATTGAAGGTTATGTAACAGCAATTCTTCATATTTTTGCTACTTATAGTGTATTGTGCGAAAGGTGGTCTATCAAGCCATCCTGCTTTATGACTATCAGTTGGATTTAACCATTCCTGTTTGTAGTTTTTGCTCGGATTGCGGAGTATAAAGCCAGCAGTGACTGTTCACTGGACCGCTGTAGGCAGTAGTGACAGGCTCCTTTTTCGGTGGGAGGTTGATTCGCCGGCGGTTCGCGACTCCGCCCGTGCCAGGGAGAACGCCGGGTGGGCGCTGTCAACGACTCTGGCGGCTGCCACAAACGTCCGCCTCAAAAGAACGCCGACATTTACGACAAAAAAAAATGAAGACTGGATTAAATCCACCCGACGGAACCTGACATGCCATGTGGGATTGTTGAGCATGTGTTCGCCGTTGGACCCCTGTGGTCTCTCTCTCTCTCTCTCTCTCTCTCTCTCTCTCTCTCTCTCTCTCTCTCTCTCTCTCTCTCTCTCTCTCTCTCTCTCTCTCTCTCTCTCTCTCTCTCTCTCTCTCTCTCTCTCTCTCTCTCTCTCTCTCTCCCTCTCTCCCTCTCTCCCTCTCCCCTCCCTCCTCTCACCCACCCACCGTGCCCACCCCAGCAGCCCGCTCAGTACCGCTCCGTCTCGACGGGCGCGTATTCAGATGCGGCCCGGTCGGGTCGGTAAGTATCGGCTGGCGCTCGACCTAACCGTCACCGCCGTCCCACGGGAAATCACCAGTCCTGGCGCTGCCTCGCTCAGACCCAGGTATCGGAGCTCCGTCCCGCCGCGTGTCCCGTGCCGAGCCAGCTCATGCGGTGAGACACCCGCCGTGAACGTGTGTGGATCATAAGTAATGGTCTGTCGTGGGTGCCGATCAACCGTGGTAGCTATAAGCGGCCGGCTGTTACGGCTGGTGGACCTGGTTTATCTCGGATGCTCTCGGAAGGCTTGATCTGCCTTTTTGTCGTATGCACAGGTATATGCCATTGGCGACCCTGTTCACATCGAGTCATCTCTTCTACGCTAGAGGAGGCACTGGATAGAGACGACGGAGTAGAGGCTCTACCCCATCTCTGACGCGACTCTCCCCCTCTCTGTCAACAGGTTCTTCTTCCTGTACCACTACTGCTTCTACGCGTACCACTACCGCTTCAACGGCCAGTACAGCAGTCTGGCGCTCATCACCTCATGGCTATTCATCCAGGTGAGGACCGCGACCCCTCGACCTCCGCCCCGGGCACCGTCCGCCGGCTCCTCCGCCGCGGTCAGCCGGTCGGAACGCTCTCTAATGGAGCGGCACGCAATCGGCGATTCATTTGTGCTGCCGCTGTGGCAGTGGCCGCGGTGTATATTGGCCCCAGTCGGCCGGCGGCACACCGGTGGGGAGCGTACTCCCCGGGGACGGGGGAGAGAGAGAGAGAGAGAGAGAGAGAGAGAGACCATTTATTCAATAACAAACAGATGAATATAACAAATAAAGTATGCAATTGGCGCAAAAGTGCTACGCACTTAAATCATGGCGCCGCTTGCTAAACGAGAAGTACTTAACGTATTTAGCAACAATAATAATGATGAAACACAATGGAACAAGAAGAATGGAATAAAAATATTTATGTTGCAAAACATGTCAAAGTGATCGTCGATCGACCGGACCGCCCAAGCCCGGTAACGCTCCACGACCCCGGCGGCACTGCAAGGCTGCCCCGCACCGCGCCCACTCGTCCGACCACGGTAGTGGTGAGGATTGGGACTTGGGATGTTGTATTTTATAAGCGATGGGTAAGGATGATGAAGGATTGGACAGCGGTGGCAACCACACGGCCCTCCTCACGACTCAGGTCTGTACCGTGGATAAGGATGTCGAGTTGTTTGGAGGAAGGGAGAGTGGAAAAGTCAGTGCGGATGACGGGCGACACGGTGTTGTAAAGAATGTTTCGCTGAGTATGATAAAGTGGACAGGAAAGTAGGAAATGTTTTGTGTTTTCAGAATTATAGCCGCAAGTGCAAGAGGGTGAATTAGCTTGTTGTATGGAGAAAAGATGAGCATTAAGTTTTGAAGTATTCAGTCGTAGTTTTGTGTGTAAAATGTTGCCTGTTTTTGTGCCTAGGAAATAATACAGAGGTGGACGGGGTTGTGTAATCAGTTCTTTTAGGTGTTTTTTAAAGGTAAAGTAGTTATTGTTTGTGCGTAGATGTTCGGGCAATGTGTTCCAGAGGCTTGTAGAGGATGGGACGAAGGATCGGTGATAGGATGTGGTTCTGGCCAATGGTATTGTTTGAGCTGAAATATTTCGTAAAGTTCGTGTTGTGTTTTGCTGTCTTGTGTTAGGAATAATGGTCTTAATAAATTCGGGAACTATAGGATTGAATATTAATTTGTGATAAAACTGAAGTTTGTGGATTTTCCGTCTGTCGGTCAAAGAAGTCCATCCTAGTTCTCGTCGCAGTCCGTTAGTCGATGTCCGAAGTCCAGTCCCAGTGATCAGTCGTGCTGCTCTGTTTTGTGCTTTTTCTAGTCGCATGCCGTCAGTCGTTGTGATGTGTCCGTCGTAAGTGATGTCACAATAGTCGAGGAAAGGTTGAACGTAAGTAATATAGAGAGATAGAAGCATTCCTTTTGGTATGTGTTTTGCTATTGGGTATAAAGGGCCCATAGAACGATTAAATTTTAGAAGGACGTCATTAATGTGTGTGTGAAAGCGTAGATCTGTGGATAGTGTGAGGCCGAGATGTTTATGGTCATTTACTATTGGAATGGGGTTACCGCCGAAAGTAAGGGTTGGTCGATTAGTTTGTTGTCGATGTGAGAAAGTTTGTTGTGTGGTTTTCGTTGCATTGAATGTTATAGCCCATGTTTGTCCGTAGTTGTGTATGATGTCTAGGTCTTTCTGTAGTGTCGTTTGTGCGTCGTGAAAGTTGTCAGTTGGAGAGTAAGACGAGTATAAAGAGCAGTCATCGGCATAAAAAAGCATTTTGTTTGTGGTTTTGTCACACAGTCCGTTTAAATATAAAATCGCCAGAAGTGGCCCTAAAACCGATCCTTGCGGTACCCCAGCGTCAAGTGTCAGTGTCTGTGATGTAATATTATTAATGTCAACTGTCTGCTGTCGGTCCGTCAGATAAGATTCAAGCCACGTCAGTAAGTTGTCCGTTATTCCAAACTCCTTTTTACACTTAATAAGAAGACCCTTGTGCCAAATCTTTTCAAAATATCGAGAAATGTCTAAGTATATTGTGGTGAAGTCGCGTCCGTTGTCGAGAGATTTGTACAGTAAGTCTGTCATGTATGTAAGTTGCAGTTGAGTGTTGTGTCCTGGTCGGTATCCACTTTGTCTGTCGGTTAGAAGCGAAAATTCAGTAATGTGTTGATATATATGAGCGAATATAATTTTTTCAAAAACTTTTGATATGCACGGAAGTAAACTGATTGGGCGATAATTATTTAATTCAGACGGAGTTCCCTTTCGCTTAAATATTGGTCGAACTTTAGCCTTTTTCCAAGATGTGGGGTATATTCCGGTGGTGAGAGATTTGTTAAAAAGTTGTGTCAAAGGTTCGTAAATCAGTAATGCTGTCATTTTTAAAATTTTCGTAGGCAATCTGTCTGAACCACAAGCTTTATTAGCGTCTAAGCTGTTCAGGGTTCGAAGGACTTCACCAGGGGTGATGTCAATGCTGCTGAGAGTGGGTACTGGTTCAGTGTTTCTTGCTGTGTATGTTTGAAGTTGTGCAATGTGTGCGTTTGTGATGTCAAGTTGTGTTTGTGAGGCAAAGTATGTATTCAGCATGGTGGCTTTGTCAGTGTCAGTTGTCGCTGTTGTGCCATCGTGTTGTATGAGTGTCGGTATGGAATGGTTTTGTTTATGACCTGTTATGTCTCTTAAAATTTTATGATATTTGTGAGGGTCGTGTTTGTTCTGAAGTAGAAGTGATACTTTATTTTTTACATGTTCGTCGTAAAGTTGTCTATTCAAATTTGTCACGAAGTTGCGTTGGGTTTTCCATTTTGCCCACGCTTGTTTGTCGGTTTTTCGTTTTCGGGCAGCATTAAATAAACGTTCACGTTTCCTAATTTCCTTCAGAAGTTCTGGTGTCACCCAAGGTTTGTCATGTCTTCGTTTGCTTTGTTTTATCGGTATGCACTCTTTGGCTGCGTCAATTATACGGTTAGTAAAATCAGTCGCTGCGTCATCAGTGTCCTTGTTAAGAATTGTTGTCCAGTCTGTTTGTTGTAAAATGTGTGTTAATTTATCGGCGTCTGTATTTGCATAGTCCCAGTACTCGGTTACATATTTGTCATCATTCCTTTCTCCCTGGATTGATAGCGTCACAAATACTGGAAAGTGGTCAAGTGTTGAAAATGAAGAGAGAAGTCCGCTATCAATGATAAATTTAGTATTGGATGTAAAAAAGAGGTCTCGTAGGTTGTATGTGTCATTTTCAATACGCGTAGGTTGGTCGATGAGTTGCGTTAGTCCAATGGTGTCAGTTGCGTCTCTTAATTTTCGGTCGAAAGCTGTCAGTCCACTATGTTGATAGGTATCTGGAGGGAGGAATAGGTTGCCAACATTTAAGTCGCCTGTCAATAATACATTTGGGGAGTAGAGATGTGCACGAGTCACACTGTCGGTTAGTCTGTCTATAAACTCTTCTTGTCGATGTGCTGGAATATTGGGTGGGAGATAGATTGAGCACAGTAAAAATGTAGAGTCTTTTGTTTTTATTTTTATCCAAATCCATTCTTCACCAGGCAATTCGAGTGAGGAAATTCTGGAAAATGTAAGTGAGCTGTGAATGTATACTGCCGTGCCTCCTCCGTGTCTGTCTCTGTGTCTTGTAATGGGTGGATGAAAATTGTCAATAGTATAAAGGTTCGGGTTAATTGAGTCGTCCAATTTAGTTTCAGTGAGTGCGAGAATTGTGATTTTATTAACGTCGACAAAATTTGTTAGCTCTTGGACCTTGCCAGTGGCCGTTATACTGTTTATATTTACATGGGCTATCGTAATATTATTCGATAATTTCTTGTTATTTATTGGCCCAGGGTTCGATTCAATTCCTCCGATAATCAAAAGAATACGCATGTCTGGAGGATAATTAAATAGTTTCGATGATGCATGATTTGACACAGAATCGGGAGAGAATTGGGTAAGGTTGAAGCGGGTTTTGGGAAGCGTTGGGGGAAAGGAGAGGAGGGGAGAGGCGGCCTGAGCGTGTGCTAGAGGGCGGCGGGGCGTCCACCGCGGTCCGGACGAAAGAGAGGAGGAGCAAACGTGCAGAGATACACTATGCAATTGGGTCAGGGGATCAATGAAGCTGACGGAGAACAAAGTAGTATAACAACGTTTCAGAGAAAGAAAGGAAAAATAGGACCGGGATGAGGGATGTTCCGCAGTCGGACGGTGGCCCGGCGCAGGGACAAAAGTCACAGGTGGGGCGGGCCGAGCGCCCGGGTCGTTGGGCGGGCGGCCAATCGCGAAGCTCGCAAGTAGTTGGAATAGATATATGATAAACTAGTATGCAGATACAGCCAAATCATAAATAAATATACGGGGAACAAAAATACAGCGGTCGAGGACTTAACGCACTCGTTATCAATCACGGACATCAAAATCATCAAACGGACACACTCGTTATCAATCAATGACTAAACCAATCAATGACTAAACCAATCCATCGACCTGTCATCGAAACCAGACACCTCGACACAAAAATAAGAGGGAAAAACACACTCTTCAACCTACCATCTGAGTTAACTGAAATTAACTGGGTCAAACTGACCGAAAAACAGACACGAAGCGAGTTACTTGCCGCAGCACTCGGAATAACTTACTAACTACATATCATCCGGGTAAGTATATAGAAGCGCCCTGAGCGGGCGACCTGCCGCTCAGTGAAAGCAGTGGACATCAACAGTCAAGTCCAAGTACCGTGGCACTACACAACATTCATTGTTTACTTTTTCTTTACTTTGTCCGCTCGGGTTTTGCGGGTTTTACCGACCCGCTTCCCGTGCTTACCTCCAGCGGCGGCAGTCTCACCGTCGTCCGTTACCGGCTGGGACGGCTCAGCGGCATCGCTCAGCGAAGTCGACGGCGTCCCCATGGACTCCGGAGCAGGCGAAGCAGGTGACGCCTCCAGCTCGGGCGACTCGGTCGACGTCTCCTCACTCGATTCGACCGCGTCAGTCGCGGCTCCTGGCTCACCTACCGTCGCCGGTGCAGCCTCAGCAGACACCTCAGACACTGATGGTTGCGCGCTCGTCTCGATCATTTCACTCGCGGCCGGGGCAGCCGCGGCTCCAGCCCCGGCTACTGGCACGTCCGGCTGGACGGCTGCAGCCACGGGCGAGCGAGCGGCCGCGCTCACCGGCACCGGCGCGGGGCTGACTGACCCGGTCACGGCCGCGTCACCCCCCGCCGGCCGGCGCGCAGCGGCGGGTTCAGGCACCCGCGCGATGGGGGCACGCCCCGCTCCCGGTGCAGGTGCGGCGGCGACTCCGGTCTGTTGAAGAGCGCTCCGGATGTCTGGGTCGTCTCCGACGACATCTCGGAGGCCGGTGAGTGAGTTGATCTTCGTCGTCGGTCCACCTTCCCTCGTGCGTACCTTTATCACACAATTGTTTGTCCAAGCCGAGTGCAGCTTGCCTTTTCTGCGCAGCTGACGAGCTACGAAGAGGATGAGCTGGTTCCTCTTCGTCAGGTTCTCGGCGATGTATGTGTTCGCCAGGACTTGCTGCGT